TGCTTACAGGAGGGAAGTGGATCAGCTGGTGTCCTGGTGCAGCTCTAACAACCTGGTGATCAATGCTCAGAAGATAGTGGAGTTAATCATGGGTTTTAGGAAAGTCACAGCCCCTCCACCCCCTCTGGTTCTCAGCAACTACTCCATCCAGACTGTGGACTCCTTCCTCACCCAGGACCTCAGCTGGGAGCTGACCATCAGCTCCCTCATCACAAAGGCCCAGAGAAGAATGTTCTTCCTACTACTGTTGAAGAAACACAAACTGCCAGAAGAGATGATGGTGCAGTTCTGCACAGCCATCACTGAGTCCATCATCACCTCCTCCATCACTGTATGGTACACTGGGGCCACAGGCAGAGAAAGACAGAGACTGCATCGCATTGTGCGCACTGCCGAGAATGTGATTGGCTGCAACCTCCGACCTGTAGAGGAGCTGTACTCCTCCAGAACTCTAGGTTGTGCAGAAAGAATCACAGCTGATCCTTCTCACCCAGGTCATAACCTGTTTCATCCCCTCCCCTCAGGCAAAAGACTACTGTCCATTCGGGCCAGAACCCCCCGCCACAAGAACAGTCCTGTCAGCCAGTGGACTAATGAACAGTGTTTAATTGGCTCTGGCCCATCGCTGCCAGCCACGCTTGCATTTTTGTTCTCATTCTTCATTTTGTATTCTGACTTGTTTTCCTTCTTCACTTCAACCACTTAGCTTTAGTTCTTTTAATCCTTGCTTATGCGCACATAACACCAGAGCAAATTCTTAGTCTGTAACTCGTTTACTGACAATGGCAATAAAATGTTCCTGTTTCCGATTAAAGTATGTCCTCAATGCAAAAGAGCATTGAGGACCTACTGTGTGTAACGGTACACTTCTTATAACAAGAATAATTTATTTAGCAAGGATCTCTTTTATTTTGGGTAAACATTCCTCTAGTGCAAAATGAATGGACACATAAGAAGTGACTCTCAGTCAGTGAATGTTGATTTGATCCATAAATTTTGCGATTGTTTATTTTACAAATCATACAGAATCACTAGAGTACACTTGATTGTGAGCAATTAATTTTCTATAAAAGTTTTGGGACCAACAATAACAAGCTTTTAACTTCTTAATTGTAAACCACACATAAATAGAAACACAAACGTCAGCTTAGATGTTAAATACCAGACATTTGAGGCTATATCTTAGGGTTGGCAAGGAAGAGTTTAAGAAAAAGTAGGAAGAAAGATGTTAGCTTTCTTATACTTTATCTTAAATAATGTGGTTTAACCAGAAGGGCGAAGCGTTCTACTTGGCGTCAGCCAGACCTCAAGGTCACACACAGCCAGCTTTTTACCTTAAAGATGATTTTCAGTCACCTGCTAGGTATCGGGGGTGCTGCTGGAGAATCCATCTTCAAGATCATCAAACAGGGGACCCCAAGGCGTGTTTTTCAGACTTGCTTGGGTCTGCGTCCAGCCATAGATAGAAAGCAAATCCTCTACTGGAACCCAGGTTTCAGAATAAAACTTCCATCTGGAGAGTTTCTAATGGTGGATAAACCAGGTGTTGGTTACCCACACTGTGAGGTTTCCCCGTTGGCGTGAAGGGGCCAAACCTGACACAGTTTTCAGCTTTTTGATTCCCCGAAGAGAATCTAGCTGTCAAAAGTGACTGACGGCGGTCCGTCACCTTACTACGGTCCGGGCAGAAACTGTTAGTTACTAAAAGCTTAGAGAATCTAAGTTCTGCCCTCCAGAAGGTTAGATTAGTAAAGTTATATCAAGGAAAGTGTTAGTTTCAGAACTTGCCATGCCTCCTGAAACTAAAACAAAGATTATTGCTGCTGTGTGATTCAGAACAAATCATTTTATGACCCATTTAATTATCTGATGAACACTTATTAAAAAACGTAACTGAAAGAAAAATGAATTGCTTCAAGTTCAAACATTTGCAAATATGATTCAGACAAGTAAAACATTGATATTTCATCAACTTAACCATAAAGATTATTTTAGTTAAATAAGAATTTTTCCACAGAAAAACCATACATAGCTGAAATCATACTGAGGGAGAAATGAGATATGTCCTCTTTTCTCCTGTAACTTTGATAAACATTCTCTGATTATCAAAATGCGTAATACTCTCAGTTAAGAGAACAATAAATCAAATAAGAAAAGATTTTTCTGTTTATTATCTGATTTAGAAGGAAGAGAATGTCTCTTTTAATGGTTAAGGTGACCTGGGGTTGCCTAGATTCAGTTCTAAGTGGGACAGAGTTTTTGTCCCTTCAAAGGCCCATCAGAGGACTGAGAGTCCAAGACAGTTTCCTGGATATTTTAACTCGAGGTGACCCCTACAACTTTTCTATAGTTTACTATGAAGTAATTTATGTGTTTACATAAAGTTCTTTGCAAAGTATAAATTATTTTTCATATAATTTCTTAATTTGACAGATTTCTCCCCTAAAATGTCTATTTAAATCAAAGAGAGTACAGGATCATAATTCATGAAGTCATTTAGTACTATTCATTTTTCATATTTGATATTGTATGAATTATATTTATCACAGTAGTTACCTCTTAGTTTAGTTTTAGATATATTAAAGGTTTGCACATCCAGACAAAACACCTAATTATTGCTAAAACATTAGGATTGACTTGTGCAGATATGCTGTATATGATAAACTACAACCAGCTGAAACTGTCCCACAGAGAGAACTTCGTGAGTTTAAGGAAAATAAAATTCAAACAGAGACACATCTTTGCTGTAATCTGGTATCTACAAATATTCATATTTTAACGTTAAACAGAAGAAAACAGCTGTTGCCTCGTGCCTGACAGAAAACAGTCTGAGCGCATGCACACGGGAGAGCTCTCTCTTTCGGACCTGGAGTTTGGTCACGCGCTCAAGTTACACGTCTGTAAGATAATGATAAAGCTCGGAACACATTGCTTGATAAAAAGTTAGACTTTAGATACAAAACTCCGGAAAGGTCAGGGCTCAGTTAGGGAGGAGGTGTGAGGTGGGGGTAACGGTGTACCAGTTCAGGTATTGCACCGGTTGAAATGGACTGCTCATGCGCGAACACATACGTTTAATTCTTAAATGTTTAATAATTTATTACACTACTTCATAGGGAGACGGGCCGTTCTTTTAGGGTAGCGGGTCGCGGCGTCATCTTGGAAAAAAGTAGAGAAAACTATGTTTGGTCCTGCAGTCTGTCTCTCTCCTTACAGACTGTAGCACCTGCCCTGCTCTGCTCTGATTGGCTAAAACTGTGACTCTGGTTCTCTTTATTGGTTGAAAGCTGCATCAGTCAAATCCAGCCAGATAGAAGCCCCCCAAAACACACATTTTTTTTCTCTCCTCCTCTTCACCTTTAAGGAATCCACAGCGGAGACAAAGAAATGTGTCCTGCCTGACAAAACTTAAGACCCTTGAGTAACGTATTCAAGACTAACTTACACATTATTGTAGGAGAGAGCCTAAGATGAAATAAGCTTTTTCCCACATCTCTTATACACAGGGTTATGAGGAAAATTTTTACCAAGGGATTTCTCACAATGTTAATATCGTGACTGTGCGAAGTGAAAATGACACAATAAGTGGAACGCTCAGACGAGTTCAATTTGAATCATAATTACTATGCAATCATTTATTTACACAAATTAAACATCATCTGTTACACTTGATCGTGGGTATTCAGTTTCCTGTACAAGCGTCAGCTTGTAGGTGACGTGTCACAGGACACGTCACCCAAACACATCAGCCTTTTACCTGATGATGACTTCTTAAGGCACCCTCGGAGTAGAAAAACTGGCTCGCCTCCTATCAGTCAGTGAACTGTTGTCAGCTCGCTTACCGGTCATTGGCCAACAGGTGTCATTTTCAGGTAACTTTGCGTCTGTTTCAGTCCAAGCCAGAAAAATTCAAGCCGTATCCGGTTTCTCCATCAAAATAAAATCATCTTCCCATCGGAAGGTAAAAAACACATGCTTAGAGGCTTGAAGCCTTGAGTGGGAACACCGACAGGCTTGTCGGCTCCCTGGCTGTAAAATCCACCTTAATTGGCTCGTGGGATTAGATCTTACAGCCCCAAAGCTGAGATTCTCCGAAGAGAACCCAGCCATCTTCATTGTTTGAATGAGGAAGTCAGAGTGTGCTTAAAGCCGTCCGGGTTAGTAATAAGAACGGACAAACTTTGGTTCCSCCCTCAGGCTTAGAGATGAGTCAGAGAAAGAAAGATACAGATTTGCCAGGCAGGCGCCAGTCAAGGTTAAATTCTGTGGTTGTGCAACAACAGCATGATAACCTCTTTAGCTCCCTTCTGATAGACTCTAAAAGAAATCACTGCACAACATTTATGATGATTAACTGTAACATTTCTGTTTATAATCAGCTCTGAACCATTCTGTCACTCCAGATAAATGAAAGATTTTCTCAGGAAAAATCCACAATTATATTACTGTGTTCACAGTAAAATAAAACTGTGATTTACATAAAAACACAATGAAAACATTTTAATCAGATTCTCTGTGATTTTTATACCATTATAAATCTTTAAGGCACAATAATAAAAAAAATAGTTGTTCCACTTTTCCTGTGACAGTCATTATCATGATTTAACAAATGCATAAACATTCTTAGTTAAACGGCAAATGAATCACAAACAGAAGAGATTGATCTGTCCATTGTCTGATCAAGAGAACTGAGGGGTTCTCTTCCATGGGTAGAATGACCTGTCATGGCCAGTTTGTAACAGAGTTCCTGTCCTCTTGTCAGGCCTGTCTGAGGCCTGCTTAGAGGCAGAAAATCTTGTTTCTTCACTCGAGGTGACCCCTACATTATTCATAAATTCAATACTTTTAAAGACCCTTACATTTAGGGTGTATTCAGACCAGGAAAGTCCTTTGGTCCACTTGTTTGGTCCGGACCAAAAATGGACTTTATTTTTTTCGTTTGGTGCGGTTTGCATTCACATTGTGTCCTGATGCATCTCACTTCTTCCAGCAGACAAAAGGAAGGTGCACAGTTATTCTGAACCAGAAGGACTATGAAGATAAGATCATGACACTCCTTAGCGACACGACCACATACGAGCCGCTGAAGAGAGATCCAGGAAGTGGGTACAAGAAGAAACTAATAGATTGCCTGAAAAGTTTAGAGCAGGACAAGGCTATTAATCGGATTCTGTATCATAGACTTGTTACATCGCTCTTTATGTGCGTTCCTGTTGATAAGGCGGTGGAGTTGGTCTGTGTAAGATTAAAATCAGACACCACTCTTATGGTACATTTATACCAAATGCATTTTGAGCATCAGGAGCATCTGGTTTACATGCAAAGTCAATGGTGGATGCACATCTGGGGGCGTCAAGAAGCCGAGTAGCGTGTCTGGCGCCATGTACAAAGCATCCGACGCACGAGTTTGAAAATCTGAACTTTTGATGCTCGATGCGTCGCATCAACCAATCAGAGAGACTCTGTTCAGTGACGCACTGGTGACGAGGCGGAAATACCGGAAGCCCGGGAAATCAGATATCACAAACAATGGAGGAAAAACTGATAGTCTGGTCATTTATAATCGTTCTAGTGTCCGTTATCG